CGTGTCCTCCGGGTCGCGGCCTGGCCGATCTGTCCCAGCTTCCGGCCGCTGGCTCGCTTGCTTACCTGTCCCGTGGCACAGGGCCAGCCAGACGCTGGAAGAGGATGTGGCCAAAGTCACAAAGCCGTTTGGAACACAGACGTCCCCCACAGGCTCTCCAGGTGCCTCGATCTGCGGGACCGCGAGTTCGGCCTTCTGGGGCCACGGGGAAGGCAGCGCAAACGGCAGTGTCCCCAACACTCGTGCTCCTGCTTCACTCCCGGGCTTTTCCTGATGACTATCCAGCCTGGGGCAGAGGCGGAGCAGAGTCGCTTTGCTAGCATCTTGGGCAGTTATCCACGGGCACCAGTGCAGGGCTAGGGCTAGGTCTCATAGACCCCTTGAGCCCGTTCACAAACCCTTCACATGCAGGTCTATGAGCTAGGTAGCAGGAAAAAGATCCTTGGAACTGTAGGTGAAGAAATAAAAGGCTTTATTTCTAGACGAGAGTTCTGCGGACCAGCAGTTCACAGCCTGGGCTTTACACACAGTGAAGAGCACACATTAATAGCAACAAGCTAAAGATGCAGGGGCTGGCATGGCGCTGTAACTCCACCCCCAACTTATCTACAAAGAATGTGCTGCACTACCCCCCAACCGGACCTGAGGCTAGGGGGCCTGATTAAACTATTTCGTTTTCCTCACAACCAGGCACTGGGCACAGTGTGTGCCTCGGTTCACAGGGCTCTGTCCTGGTGGTGCTTGTGTTTTGGGGGGGAGGGTGTCAATAAGATGCTGTCTACAGCACACTTTCCACTAGTAAGAACTGATGTGGAGAGTGGGGAGGGGAGACCCAAGCTAACAGATCAGGCCGTCAGGAAGGCTCCCTGGACAGCAGGCTGTAGGGCAGAGACCTGAGGAGCCACGTCTTCTTTTGGGAGAGGAATGTTCCGGGCTGAAAACGACCACTGCAAATGCCTGAGGCAGGAGCAGGCTGGAGAGTCACTAGGAACCACAGAAGGTCAGCATGGCTGGTGTGCAGGAGCAGGAGTGGGAACAGGATGGGTGGGCATTTTAAGGGTCTGAAGACCAAGGACCTGGACTTTAGCCCAAGTTACAGAGGCCATTGCCGGATTTGGAGCTGGAATTTTTTAGTATCTTCTGAATTATTTGTTTTGTCTTGGCTGCCATGAAAGTGGCAAGGACAGTACAAAAAATTCCCAGATACTCTTCCCCCCATTTCCCAAATGTTAAACTTTTACTCACCTCCGGAACGTATGAGTGTAATTATTTGGAAATAGGGTCTTGGAGCCTGCAATCAAGGCAAAATGCATCGTGCTTGATAAGGAGCGTGCATGGGATGGGGGACAGCGGTTTTAGGTTCGGTGAGATGGAGAAAAGGGAGAGAGACCCCAGCCAGGTGCTATTTCAGCCGAGAAGCTTTATTCCACCAGCATGGAGGGGAGATCAAGTCAGATCAGCTCCCCCAATAAAGGAAAGCAGGAGGTTTATAAGACTTTGAGGGTTCTGGCCACGTAATGAGCAATTTTGAAATCAGTGGTATGCGAGATGACACAGCCTTTGTGGTCTGAGAACATCTGGTCAGTTAGGGCACAGGCTTCTAAAGCATTCCTTCCAGCCCAGCCCAATTGCCGTAAGCTGGCCATGAGGCTTAATATTCCTCCCTTTTCTGTTTGGTAAATAAAAGAAAAAGGATGTGAGTTATTGTTATTAGAGAGATCTCCAGATGGGGTGTATGGATGAGGGCCCATCGTCTATAACTTCTTCATGCTGACAAAAGGGGCGGCAAGGGGCTAGTGATCTGGAGATTTTCCTTGTCACGATCCCTGAGGCTGGAGGAGGTGATAACGGGAGTCTCTCATCATCAGAACTTCAGTTCCCCGCTCATGAGTCATTGTCTTGATGGTCGTGCAGAGGAACCAGGACGATTGTTGTAGAAGATTGTTGTACAGATGGCAGAAGGAAGATTATTACAAAGGGAATGAGGATGGAATCAGAACTTCAGTTCCCCGCTCATGAGTCATTGTCTTGATGGTCGTGCAGAGGAACCAGGAGGATTGTTGTAGAAGATTGTTGTACAGATGCAGAAGGAAGATTATTACAAAGGGAATGAGGATGGGGAGCAAAATGGGTAATAGCCGTGAGTTCTTAGATTATTCAGTTGGCAGAGTTTTTAGGTTTGTGGCCTTTTCAAGAATATTTTGGGTATTTTCTTGGACTTTGCAGACTGGTTAACATAGAAACAACAGCTTTCTTTAAGGTATAAGCATGTGCCACCCTCTGCAGCAGTAAGTAGGTCTAAGGCCCTCCTGTTCTGTAGGACCACCTCTGCCATTGAGTCTAGCTGCTGTTGTAGGATTTTTAGGGTTTCTCCAGTTGTTTGTAATATATTAGCTACC